ATAAAGGGAGAAATGTGGGATCCACATATAAATCAAGTATAAAAATCAAACAAATATTCATATTTGACCTGATTGTTTATAGTTCGTAACGTGTGATCAAAACCGAAAGTTTCTGTGATGACTGCCCTTGCACTGTTCACCATGTAAGAACTTATTCACTATGTAAGAACTTGTTCGTTATGCTTCAGAAGATTGGAGACTGACGAGAATTAGGCTTGAGATGGATTAATGATTGTGCATTGAGCATTGACCCCCCTATACAGAATTTTATTGTTGTTAACAACCATTTGATGAATAAATATGAGAGATGCCCTCTCAAAAAAAAAAAAAAAAGATTAGGTCATGCAAGAATTGTCAATGGGTGCTAAGACTAGGGGGAAATTTCAATGAAGAGTAGGATATTTGCATGGTTTTAAAATGCTTCCCACTACTTATCAATGTCAAGGGAGAGGGAAATAAAACAAGTATACCAGAAGAAAAATCAGACACCACCTTGACAAGAGTGATCAACATTATAATACCCATGAGGAAAGGATGGACACTGCCTCCATATGTGATACTGAGAAGCCATCCCGTGACCTCTACAGTATTCTGGCTAAGAACGTGTAAATTGCATCTAATCACATAGCAACAGACAAACCCAATGGGGAATGCTCTACTTAAAAAATGGGGCTGTATTTTTAATATCAATGTCATAAAAGACAAAAAAAGATTAGGGAAATGTTCACAATTAAAACAGGCTGAGATGTAACTCTATGTAATACCTGATCCCAGGATGGATCCCATTAAGAGAAAAAAAATGCTATAAAGGACATTTTGGAGTCAATTAAAAATTAGAGTACAAATGACAGATGAGAGAAATATTGATGTTAAACTGACTGAAGGTAACTGTATTATGGTAATATAGCACAGCACAGGAACACCTCAGAAACATTGTGGGTTCAGTTCCAGACCACAGCAATAACAAACATCACAGCCAAGTCAAAAGAATTTTTTGGTCTTCAATGCATATAAAGGTTATGTTTATACTATATGGTGTACCCACTATAGTCTCTTAAGTGTGTAATAGCATTATGTCTAAAAAAACAATGTACATACCTCAATTTTAAAAATATTTTAATGTTAAAAACTGCTAATCATCATCTGAGCTTCTAGTGAATCGTGATCATTGATCAGATCCACCTAATGAGCCATGAAAGTCTGAAATATTGTGAGAATTACCAAAATGTGAGACACAAAGTGAACAAATGCTTTTTTATGCAGGGCTGCCACAAACCTTCATTTTGTTTAAAAAAAAGGCAGTATCTGCTAAGCACAGTAAAATGGGGTAAGCCTGTATCCCATATATATATATATGGGGATATACCCCATATAAAGTGTATATGATATATACATTTGAAATGTTGATGTAATAGGCCATTTCTAAGGTTCAAAAAAAGTGTGTGTATGTACATGTATATGTGCGTGTACACACACGAGAGAAATGTTGGTTCACTGTATCATCCCCACAGATTAAAAAGAAAAGTAGGTAAGGCTTAACTCGTCACATTTTATGTAGATAAAAAGGGGAAACATACCTGAATAGGAGATGGCTTTTCCCAGCCCATTTCAAAAATTCCCATCAGTAACTCCCGTTTCAAACAGTAATCTTCAAACTCATTTCCTTTTGTGGAAGTCACATCCTAGTAAAACAATCAACAAAAAAATAAAATACAACTGTTTCTTTGGTAGCATGCTTAAGTTGGAGAGACTACTTCTTTACCTACCCTATAAAATGTAAATGCAGATTAGTTCTCTATTTTAACTATTCCTGAAGAATAACCACTCTTTCTTTAACATGAGCCTTTTAAAAACTGTATTTTTGGGAAAGGCCACCCTATTGTCATATTCTTTCTTCTAAAGACTGGTGGAATCCTGTTATTTCTATGTAAGTATCATGCTGTGAATTACAAGTCACAAGATGTGGAGTGAAACCCTCGCTCCACCACTCACTGCCTACAAACATCCTTGTCTAAACCAGAATTTATCAAGGTCAGCACTACTGGTATTTGAGCCAGAAAATTCTTTCCTGTTAAGGGGGCTGTCTAGCTTCTGCTAAATACTCACCAGGAGACAAAAATCACCCCTGGCTGATTAACACTAGGCTAGGAGAACTAACCTCTCACATTCTGTTTTCTCATCTACAAAATGTTAATAACACCTACCTAGTCTGAATCTTACTGTGTTTCTGGACACAAAGGACAATTTTGAGAAAGTGCCTTGGAAGCCATAAAAAAATCCATAAATTAGGTAAGATACACATTATGTGTAAATAATATTTTTAATATATGTACACACATTACATTAACATAATTCCTCCAAATAGTGAAAAATTTTGACAATTCATCATATATGATCTATAAAATTTCAACCATTTTAACTTACTTCAGAGTAAACACAGTGTCTATTGTTATTATTAACTACATTACCTTTAAAGCCTCCACACTATTTTCCCACTTGAATATTACAAACAACTTACCGAAGTTTTGATTCTTAGATCCTTTGGAGGGAGTTTTAAAGTCTTTTTCCAGTCATCACCAGGTCTAGAGAGAATAAAGTAAAATTGAAGTATGAGAATTCAGAGTGTAACTATTCTATAGTAATATAAAGATGGCTCATGTCAATTACAATTTAGGTTCTAAACAGCACAGTAAGTTTACTATATCATCATTTATATAAAAACATAGTTAATAGAGATGAACAACTTGCGAAAACCTGCTCTTTTTATAAAAGAACAATCTAAAAAGGATTTAAAAAAATCAAGAACAGAATAGAACAAGGCATTCATCCACTTCATAGAAGCAGTGTATTAAATAGAGTACAACTATCATTAGAACAGATAACCAACGTTTTGACAACACAATGTGTAACTTAAAACTAGTTGCCAACAATTAAAAATGAGATTTCACGATTAGCATGTATAATGTGGGGGGAGGCACGGGGAGGGCTGTGCAACACAGAGAAGACAAGTAGTGAACTCTACAGCATCTTACTATGCTGATGGACAGTGACTGTAATGGGGTTTGTGGGGGGGGGGCCTTGGTGAAGGGGGGAGCCTAGTAAACATAATGTTCCTCATGTAATTGTAGATGAATGATAAAAAAAAAATGAGATTTCATGTAGAAATCCAGATCCTAGCATTTCATAAAAAATGGAAGCTTTAACAATTGGTTCCAAATTTCTATATGGAGTAAGTTTGATACAGCTTAATAACTAGAATTTAAAATTAAGTGGCTAACCCCTTTAAAAAGGGCAAGTACCCTCTCATTTGGCACAATGTCCTATAGGAATGTGAGTTTCTAACTTCTGGTAACTAGTTAAAAAAACAAAAGCTCTGAAGTTTCATACCTGAGCTCAAGCCCTGACTCTACTACTTTTTAGTTCTGGAACTTGCATTAGTTACTTTTCTTAGCTTCCATTCTCTCATGTATCAAATGCATTAAGAATTGCATCAAGTAGTTTATAAAAGCACTCAGCACAGTGCCTGGCAAAGTAAGAACTCAGTATTAGCTGTTAATGTATATTCAGTCTTTTTTACTGGGGTTGCTAGAAACTATGAAAGAGTAAAAACAAGGGAAATAAAAAATTTTTTAATTCTCTTTTTGGTCAGCCAAGAACCTCAAAACACCCAAAAGCGTCTAACAGAAAAAAGATAGTCAATAAAGCAGATGATGTTTCCAACTGGGTTGCCTTTAAAATAAAAATGTTCAGATTTCATTATAGCAACTATTATCAGAGCCCCCAAAACATGGCAAGAATCTTGATTTAGAAGGATAAGCACTTATTTTAAAGCTAGGTCCCACACAGGCCAAGACACTCTAACACAGGTAACTTTGTTACCAACTCCAGGGGCACTAAAACCATAAGGTACACCTCAGCCATACCACACCAAGGTTTAAGAGCAAAAACGTCAGATGAACATCCTAGTAGGCCAGCTTATTGCCACACTGCCAAATTCAATAAAAAGTTTAAAATGAAAATGCAAAATCTTTCCATAAGAAATTTATAATCTTAGGAGGTTAAAAAAAGAAACTATTTAAAATGAGAATAAGTGATAGTGGTAAGCATTAGAAGAGTTCTGAGACAAGGGATTGTATCTAGAAGCCTTCATGAAAGAGATGACACTTAAACTGAGATTTAAAAAATCCATGGAATTGAAAAGACCATTAATCCTAGAGGGAAAAAACAAACAAGCAAGCAAAAACCACTGTTGTCTCAAATCAGCACTTAAGTAGAAAATACAATGAAATAACAGCTTTATGTTTCTATCCTTAGAATTAAAAACAGACTAAATTTTGCTAGCTTATGCATATTTGGTCAAGATAAACTATAACTTAGACAATATTCTTAGTTTCTATACTAATTTAAAGATTTACCTCAAAAATAACAGAATATGCAAAAATGCCAATTCTCTGAGTAAGCAAGCTAATTCTCTTGGAAATCAATTCATTAACTATGTCCTTAGATTGACAGTTACCATTCAAATAATTTAAAGTGTACATTTTAAGATCACAAATAGCCTACAAACTTTCAGCTTTAAAAGAAAAAAAATACTCTTTACTACGATAAGGCTCTAAAGTTTTTAGAGTCAACAAAGGGGCTTGGGACAGGGGTGCTTCCAAGAGTTCAAAATCCTAATTTCCCTATAATATATAGCTGCTCGTTATTTTATGTATGTACGTGTTAAAAAAGAAAGTTTATGTTGAAGCAGAAAAGCAAAGCTCCATAAGCTAAAAAAAAAAAAAAAAAAAAGTCATAGAAAACTTTTCTGAGTAGGTTTGAAGTTCAGAAGGCTGGGCAAGTCTTTAAATTTAAAACTTGTAATCGACTTTAACTGCTGTTTAAACTACAGTGAAGTGCAGTTTTAACACTTAAGGCAAAAGTCATTCTGGAAAAAAACACAATAATTTGAGCTATCAAAGCAAGAAATGTTTCAAAAAATCTATATAAAATTAATATACATCAACTATGTCTACACTTAATAAACCTGAATTACTTATGCCAGAAAGTACTTTATTCAATTACAAATACCTACCTGCCATAAAATAAAATCATCTGTCCTCTATTTGGAATCAAGATGATTATTTTAAGGTAAACCAGTCAGCAACAAACAAAAAGAAACCTCCTTAGTCTCCCAAGTGTGTTCATCACTTACTCTAACACTTACTTAATAGTGGTGGTCATACTCTGTGCTTGCTGCTGAGTGCCATTATTGATTGTGTTGGTGTTTTTCAGCTGGTTCATCTGTTGCTGTGTCTGTGTGCCCCCTCCTCCAGGGCCGCCACTGGGCTTCACAGGGCCCCTCAGCTGACCATTTTGACTGGACAGACCCATTATAACAGGGTTCTCTGTTCTGGCCGTGCTCATGCTGTATTAACTGTAAAGATGTCTCTTTCAAACTTCAAAAACTTTTGAAAGTCAGTAGAGAAACTGTAATAACAGTTTATTAGGCTCTCCAAAACGAAGAGATAAATATAAGTCTTGCTCAATATATGAGTCCTTTATTGCAATGCAGGCAAGCACCTGTAAGTCTCTGAACGGTAAGCAGCAGTAACTTGCTCTCATGCACGGAATCAACTTTTTTTTAAAAAGCCCTCTAAACAAGGTTGTTATATATCTGAATTCACTCACTTCAATCTGAAACAAATAAAAAATTTAATTAGCAAGCAGGAAAGTTAGAAAACAAAACATTCCCATTTAAAGAACCTCCCTTTAGGCGAAATCTCTTTTAAAGAATTAAGATTTCGGCTGCCCTTAGACCAAATCACTAGCCAGGCTAGGTAGGAGAGACAAAAAAAGTTAAGATACCTAAAAAACCAAACCAATTGAGAACAATCTCAAACATTTTAAATTGACCATTCAAAGCAACCCATAGATTAGGTAGAAAGATTTTGTGATTAAATTAGCACTAGTTGTCAAATGACAATCTCTTCCCTTCAGTTTCCTCCCTGAATTCTCTAAAAGTCCCTACCACTCTACAAGCCAATGATTCATCACACTTAATTGCAGTACAACTCAGTGAAGTATCACACAATTTTGTTAATGTAAATCTACACATGAGCAAGGCAATTCAATTCATTAATATTTTTTTCTTTCTTGAGAATCCTTGAAGAGTTAAGTGTGCTTTTAACTTTATGCTTTCAGGAAAAAAAAAACACATTTGTGCTTTTATGAATTTCAACTACGTTAAGTTAAACTTTGTTTTTAAAAACTGCATTTACTTTTTCCCAGAAGTTTTTGCCCCTTAAAACAGTAACTGAAGCAGTCAAAGGATACAGGTATGTCTACATGTCAAAATCTTCCGCTTGAAAAACAGCAAAGAAAATCTTTAGCTGCCTTGGTAAAATCTGAATGCTAAGTGTTAGCTATATTTCAGTAACATCTTAGCTACCTTGGTAAAATCTGAATGCTAAGTGTTAGCTATATTTCAGTAACATCTTTCAAAAAGTATATCTTAACTTTAATAGCATCATTAAAAAATTACTAAAATACAAAAAGGGAATAGCCTGTGTTAAAACAAAAAACTGTAAAAAGCTAAACACTAGTGGCTTTAATCAGGCTTTCCAGGAAACTCAGTACTAATTAATAATTGTTTTTAAAAAGAAATGGTCCACCTCCCCGATTTTTAATTATTCCCCAAATCGTAATTATTTTAAAATATAGAAAAAGACACAATTTACCAAGGCCAGAAAATAAAGGCCTTTGATGGGTTTGTTCTTTTAACTCCTTCACATTTCTTAACAAAAAATACACTAACTTAGAAGTGATTATTTCTGCCATACACCAAGACTTCTCAAACAGTAACATTTTTCTAAAATACTCTTTTTTCAACATTGAAAATAAAGCTGCTCACAGGCAAATCCTGATTATCACACACACAAAGATGTACAATTCAGTCTACCAGAATCTGACTGACCTCTTAAGCAAACCATGGTTAACAGCCACCTAATTTCAGTTCAAGGGAGTAAATGGTTTTCCTGTATTGACAAGTATATAATATGATCAACAATATCACGTAATTCGCAAAGACTTGTTGGCAAAGCACTAAGAGGATGAAGAAGGCATCCTCTAAAGATTAACATTATACTCTCCATCATGCACATTAAGACCTCATGTCTCCCTAGACCCCAAATGTGACGATAACTGCTCTCCCATTAAAGTGAAACCTGCACTGCAGCTTCAAGTAAATATCCCTCCTACCCCTTCCCAATTTAGATTTGCAAGCTGTATTTCTACATCTTCAAAAATACGAACGAAACGTGAACTGGTTGGAGGAGCCCCTCGCAGAGTTAATTACAGCACTTCCCAGTTAGCAACTGGCAGTTTGACACCCAAATCGGTATCGTCATTACCAACAAGAGCTTTTGTTTGCAAATGCAGCGTAGTTTCTCTAAGCTCGGTCTCCAAGTTTAAGTGACTGTTTTATTCGGAAGGGAAAAAGGGACTGTGGCCAGAGAAAAGGAGGGGGCAACAAGGGACAGAAACAGGCCAACGATTTGAACCCCGTAATTACAGGCCAATAATTTCTTGGTTCCCCTGTCCCCCTACCCCCCACTTCAAGTAGCTCCCTGTGACCACAAACACAAAAGGTTTGGGGCTCTGCAACCCTATCTGCGCAACAAGAGCGGGGAACCAGCCCCGCGGGTAGGAAACAATAGGGACTCCCCCTGCAAGGTCCCAAAGAGAAACCCCTAACTCAGAAAGCCCCCTCTCCCCTCCACGAGTCGGGGGCCCTAATCACCCTCTTGGTATCGACCAAGGCCTTATTCCAGCCGGCCCTCCAACACGGCATATCCCTGCCGCCCCCAACCCTGGAACCTCCAGCACCCCCTAAGTCCTTGCCGCCCCCTGGTCCCAGAGCCCCTCGTCTCCGCTAAGGCTGCTCCGAGTACTCCGCCCGCTGCTACGCGGCCTCCGCCGCGCACTCAGTCCTCTATTCTCCTCCTCCGCGGCCCCCGCCCCACTCCGCGGCCGCCCGCCGCCCGCCTTCCCTCCCCCAGGCCCGGCCAGGCCCTAGGCCTCCGCCTCAGGCGCCCCCAGGCCGGCCGAGGGGCTTCCCGCAGCCCCGACGGCACCGCTGACCTCGACCCCACCACCTCACCGCTCGCCCCGCGTCTCCGGCCCGAGTCCTACCACCGAGGCCACTCCCGCTCGGCACCCTCGGTCCTTTATTGTTGACTCGAAGCTCCCAAAATGGCGGCGGCTCCTTCCTCCCCAGAAGCCTCCGCCCACCCCCACCCGGGCCCTAGAATCGCCGCCCCGCCCCCCACCCCCCCACGGCCGGGCCGCCCGCGCCCGCCGGCTCCCCGGGCCCTCGGGCCCACCTCCGCCGCTGCCCGCTCTCCCGGCGCTGCCGGAGCCGCCGCCCGGGACCAGCTAACTGGGCTCCTCCGCCCCCTCCCTCGCCCGCCGCCGTCCCCTCCCTCCCGCTGCTCCGCATGGCGGCCGCCCCGGCCCCTCCCCCACGCAAGATGGCAGGAGCGCGGCCGCCGCCACTGTGCCCGCCGCGGCCTCGCCCGCTTTGCCGCGGGAGACGTCCTGCCGAGGAACCTCCCCGAGGAGATGGGGGGCCGCGCTCTCCACCGACAGGGCACCCGCGGGTGCCCGAGCTGAGGGACAGCTGAAGGAATATGGGTTCCTTTCCAAGTGGGAAGAAGGCTGCTTTTTCCTCTGCTAAGGAGAAAGACTGGGGAGTGGTGGCTGGGAAGCGTCCGCCCTGCCTTCTCCCCAAAGTGGGATCCGGGGTTCTGACCACAGACGATCTGCCTATTCCTGACCAGGGCACGTTCCGAGAACGGCCTCCCCGGGCAGCGGCTCGGGGACGGGGAGCTGACCTGACATCTCCCGTGGGCCGGGGGCGCGCTGCGGGACCAAGGCGCCGCGTCCGAGCCATCCACGAACGCGCGGAACCAGTGGCCCCGACGCGGCCGCGCGGGGCGGGAAGGGGGTCCGGCCGGGACCGGAGAGCGAGCGGCGCGGCGGGGGTTCGGGGGGGTGGTCCAGGGGGAACACCGAGGGGAGGGGCTGCAGGGCAGGACCCGGCCGCAGGCACGCCGCGCAGCTCACCTGGGGGCGCGGGGAGGGGGCCGGGGGCAGCGACCTTCCTTTCCCGGCCCCAACAGGCAGCCCTTGAAGAAAGAGGGGGCGGGTCCCCAAAGGAAGGGAAAGCTGCTGAGGAGTCAGAAAGAGTCCTGTAAGGAAATGGGGAACCAGAAAGCAGACGGTGGTTTCCTCCGGGCTGACCCTCACTGGAAAGATATTTACGTGTTTGTACCCTTATGAATACTATTCAAAGCCTCCTGTCTCCTTTTATCCTTAACAAGTACCCGGAATGCCATCGTGTTCTGGGTAAAACAAACAACTGAAGGTAGAAAGCTGGCTGGGTCGGAGGAAAACAAAAACCTGGGTCTCATCCAGCTGAGAGACTGAATATACAAAACAATAGCCAGACCGTGTGTGACCACAGATCTCCGACCCACGACCTCCGCAGCAGCCTCCGCAGTGATGGGCCCACGACTTGCAGGACTAGATCCCTGATTACCAGCTTCCCTGATTTCTGCCCCTGCTTCCAACTCGGGACCAATCAGAGAAAGCCAAATATGTTCCCCAAGCCAATCACGTAAGACGCCCCGCTTTAGTTAGCCCGCCTCCAGCTTCCCCATGCCACCAGCCTCCAATCAGAGAACACCTGAAGCCCTGCCCTTTTTTCACTGCCTGCTAGGTCTCTACCGAACTAAGTGAAGGTGACTGGCTTGTTTGGTATACAGCAAGCTCTGCATAAGTTCTCATTTGGCGGTCTTTGTTTATTTTTTGTTTATTTCCATGCAGTCAAAGGAAAGGTGATAGAGAAATGTGAAGAGGCTGTTTTTGAGATGAAAAAGAAAGGTCCCTTATATAAACATGAGCAACTTCCTGAATTCATCTCTTCGAGCAAGGGAAACAAAAGCAAAAATGAACACATGGGACTATATCAAACTAAAAAGCTTCTGTACGGCAAAGGACACCATCAACAGACAAAAAGGCATCCTACAGTACGGGAGAATATATTTGTAAACGACATATCTGACAAGGTGTTAACATCTAAAATCTATAAAGAACTGACACACCTCAACACCCAAAAAGCAAATAACCCAATTAAAAAATGGGCAGAGGATGTGAAGAGATAATTCTCCAAAGAAGAAATTCAGATGGCGAACAGACACACAAAAGATGCTCCACATCACTAATCATCAGGGAAATGCAAATTAAAACCACAAAGACGTATCACTTCACACCAGTAAGGATGGCCAGCATCGAAAAGACTAAAAACAACAAATGCTGGCGAAGATGTAGAGAAAGGGGAACCCTCCTACACTGCTGGTGGGAATGTAAGCCAGTTCAACCATTGTGGAAAGCAATATGGAAGCTCCTCAAAAAACTAAAAATAGAAATACCATTTGACC